AAGTACATCTAGTTAATACGTGTGACGTGTTTCAACCAGAGTGAATTATAACTAACTTATAGGGGTGGCCCTTTTATCGAAGGAGAGAGTCTTGCCTCGCTTGCCTCTACCCTGCCAACTGGGGGTTTACCCTTGACGTTGTCATTGGCGGTGGTGACACTGCCAAGATTGATAGTGGAGAAAAAAAATCAAATAAGAAGTTTTAAATAACAGTATTTGTAGAAAATTAAGTTAAAATGTCCCAAGTTTAGGTTGGAAACAAAGTTTAGAAATTAAATAGACGTATAACGGCCAGGAAAATAGTAAATATTTTACTAGACTGTTTGGTACAGAAGTCCTTGTTGCTGTGCGTCATGAAACCCCCAACAATCAACCCTACCTACAATTTGCGCACCGCTGCTCTGTACGATGGTCGTGCATCTTGACAAAAGCCATATAGGATAATTTCCATTGCAAGAGTCCTTCGTAAGGCTGCCATGCTCAGGACACACAACTCATCCCTGTATATTTCCATAATCCATCTAGATACGAGGACGACAGCTTCCCAGTGCCTGTTTTAAAGGTCCATTAGCACAGAAATCCAAAGGTAAATTGAATGATGCCTCTTCATAAGATATACGAGAGTTGAACTTGTATGTCGTGAAAACAACTTGTCAGTTTTTCAGATGGTGAATCCTCCTTGATTATGCTACACTGTTGCTTGGGGCATGTGGGCGGATTTTTCCATTGACCTTGTTCGTGATTTCGCACATGTTACAAGACGGCACACTTTTCTGATCCCGGTTGGGATACGACTTGTTACAAGTCTCTTTCGGGATGGTGCTGGGTCACCAAGTTGATCCATATACTTTTGTTTTCCAATGTCATCAAGTAAAAGGGGTATCCCTATCTCGAAACTCTCAATCCCATATCTTAATAGATATTCATGATCTGAGTGTATGAATATTTTGTGTCGGAAAAAGCTGTTGCATACTACTCCCATAAATTAATTTTTGGTGACATCACACTGTCTACGCAACGCCAAATAATAAGGGGTGGATTAACGCCTGAACCCACGGGTCTTGTACTCAGAGGCCCCAACTGAAAAGGGGGGGGGGGGCTGATAAAACCTACTACTAGATCAAAATATTCGCATTTCTAAATACTACATATGAGTTTCACGAAATTATTAGAATTTGAAGGAATGCTTTTAACCCTGTTCAGAAACCTAAGGGTGTTACTTAATGTTAAATATTACTTAAAACATGGAAAATTTCTGATTCAAATATGTGCAACCTGTGTTTTTGTAGTCGCTTATATTTTTCTGAAGGAAAGTGGGTTTAGTTGCATTTATTGTATGTGATAAAATTAAGCAATGTGTAAACATTGCGGGCCTATTTTCTTCGTGCAGTTTATTACATTGTTCTTTGCATCCAGAGCCCCAAAGACTTAATCAGCCTCTACAAACAATATCTAAATGTACTTCTGGTATATGATGTTCCGTCTTGTTCTTTAGGCTCTTGACTACTTGGCTATCGCTGTTCATGAACTGGCAAGCATGAGTGAAAGAAGGTTGGAACGTTTGGTCAATCCAGGTCAGCATTTCTTTCTCAGTTCTGTTGGCAATATTGTCATTTCCGATATTCAAATCAGTTGTAAGTCCATGCACCAATGTGTAGAAGTCAGAGCAGAAATGATCATTTTAACTTTTTACAAGAACAAAAGTTAAACCACGAGACATTAATACCAATGGTTTTTTTTATAATTAAAATAAATGACCACCATATTTAGAGTTTTTATATGTGTTTAAATAATTAGTCTACAGCTGATTAGTACCTGAAAACTAAGTTTTTAATCGAGACACCAGTAACAGAAATAGTTGAACTGATAGCGTTTACTTTGATACTTCTAATGTTATTTGCTTCACTTTTTACCCTATGTATGATTACCTAGGTAAATATTAATTGTAATTTTTACTCATCAATTAGATACTAGTTACTAATTAGTTTTTATTTTAAGTTTAGACTGCTAATCTACTGCTGTATTCAGGAAAATCTTGATAAGGACTATACGTAATGGCGGAGACTGGGTTCAATCCTGGGCCTTTCCGTGAGAAAGACAGATGTGTCGTCCACTCGTCTGGACTCTTGCCATATTATAACTTTAATAAACTAATTATATTAATGGTTTCAATAGGAGTATTGAAAATTTAGCGACTTATTTGCTTGGTTTAAAGAGTATGTTACCAGTTTTGTGGGTGTACAAGGTCGAGTACGTTATATTAGAACAAAGTTTAATGTGCAAATCAGAAGTCATGTGACACTCACAGCTTCTGTGAAGTCGTGGTGAAATTGGTATTGGTACATGTTATGTTAGGAAGACGACAATATAACTTTTCTCTGCTAGGACATTGTCCTATGTTATAAAGTATTTTCTTTTCTGCATCATGGGCACGTGGAAACGTTCATGCATATTTTATATTGCATATAGGGCTTTTGATTTTAGGTTTTAACTTATAAGCACTAATAAAACACTTCCGATACGAAATATAACAAAATCGGTGTTTTTCCAATAAACAACGGAAATATTTATCTAGTATACTTTCCATTAACGT